CATTTAACTCCGAGCACGTACTCTTGTGTGACCAGACCAGGTAATTTGTCACAGAATCACCTGGACACTGTTTCCTTCAGTGTGCCGAGGCGCTGCAGAGCAGATCTAACAGCTACTGATTCTGTGGTCAGAGTTTAATGTGGCCGCTGACTCTTTTATATTATGAAAGTTGCATCATCAGGTATTCATGTAAAAAAAAAGAGACTCTATTAAGCTCATAAATAATGAGTAAAAGTCAAAGAGGTAATAAAGCTGTTTAACCTTCACCGGCTCTGAAAAACCACAACACGTTCATCTTCATTAACGTCTCGTCAGTCCATGTTTCCGTCCATCTCCTGTTCATTTATAAAGTCAAATGTTTAAAAGACAATAACGTCACACGATCACACATTATGTCAGGTAAATCAAACTAGTGGTCCAGTTAGTCCCATCTTCTTTTTTTTATTGTTATTTATTTTTTACAGATGCAATTGTTTCCCAAGATGCCAAGCAAGGCTCTGAGGAGAACCAGTTGCTATAGCAGCCAAATGTTTTTCAGTCTCTCTAATTGCTTATCCTCATTAGCCTGACTTCACATTACATTACTGTGTGCCACTTTTCTTCAGTAAATAATAAAACCAAATAAAATACGTATTTCTGTAATTATTTTAATTGGGGTCAAAAGGTTCAGTTTAAAGCAAAAATAATTTGTGAAAACCACCCTCTACAGTAAAAATCAAATCAGTTGATACATTTGAATATAAAATTATAACAAATGTTATTGTTTTATTTTTATTTACAACCTGTGAGCCACCCTGAAAACATAAACAATCAGAAAACACACATTACAGCCAAACTCTGCTTTCTTTCTCAGCAGAACAGTAAACCAGTTGCACGTGGAATAATCACACTCAGGACTGAATCAACTGAAGCCGTTAGCTGATCGATTGGGAGAAAATGTTTCACATTCAAGCGGAGACAAACTTCAGCTTAACGAGAAAGGTTGGCGTCAGCAAATGCAAAGCAGAGACCAGCTTTAATGAGCTTCCAGTCCAAGCAGAGCTCACCTGAGCCGCTGCTGCAAATCTGTGACTTACAGGAACCGGCTGACAGGCTGCTCAACGTACTTCCTGTAACCTGTACTGGAACTCTCATTCAGACATTTAATCTCCAGTTTGTTCAACATTTGCATTGGTTTACCGAAATCTTTGGAATTTGTTGATAAAGAGCGCAAAAGAGTTCAAAGTGGACTTACAGCCATCCAGTAGCTGGTGTTTGAATGTTTTTGACAGGATTTTCTCTCTTCTCTGAGTTTAAAATGCAGGCTTGGAGCTGTTTGTTTGCAGAGAGCAGAGGTGCTTATGGTAATGAGCCCAGAGGCCCCTGGCCCCGCACAGAACGCTGAAGGAGTTTAGGTTTCTTTGCATCTCATTTTCATTTAGTTTAGAAATAGACTAATTAATCATGTGGCTATTTACCATCCTGTTATGGAGGAGTTTATGCTCCCTCAGCTGGGTTAATTTTACCCCTTAAAATAACACAAACACACACAAAAAAACTCCACGAAACTCTTGTTTGATCAGGCTTCACGTGTATAGTGCAGTTTACACTTCTCTCCTGCTCTGTGACATGTTGTGTCCATTTTATATTCAAACAGTGTTTGTGACATTTTTTGGCTGAAATACAACAGAAACATTCAACCAGAGTCATTTTTATACAGTTTAAATTGAGGGACTTAAAAAGAAAGACCTGTCATAATAAAGAGGTCTGTTGAAAATAGTTTTCCTCAGACCACCGGACCTTTTGTTTGCATGCGTTTGGTGGTCTGAATTAGTGTTGGGCGATATTGGCCAACCAATCTTTATCGTATTGTGTTTTGGGGTCCCAGTGACTTTCAAACCCCAAAACAAGTTACGACAAAGATTGGTTCACCCCAAATATCCAGTTCCCCGGCACAAACAGAGTAATATTGTGTATGCTGTTATGTGTCAGGAGGACTGTGATCAGTTATACATCAGGGAAGCAAAACAAAACAGCCACTTTTCAAAAGAATGAGCCAACACAGAAGCACTGCATCATCAGGCCAGGATTCTGCAGTTTACACTCATCTACAGACCAGGACTCTACAGTTTACACTCACCTACAGACCAGGACTCTACAGTTTACACTCATCTACAGACCAGGACTCTACAGTTTACACTCATCTACAGGCCAGGACTCTACAGTTTACACTCATCTACAGGCCAGGACTCTGCAGTTTACACTCATCTACAGACCAGGACTCTGCAGTTTACACTCATCTATTGGCCAGGACTGCAGTTTACACTCATCTACAGGCCAGCGGTCACTCTTTCAGGGATGAGGATGTTCTCATCCTTGATAGAGAGGAACGTTGGTTTGAGAGAGGTGTAAAGGAAACCATCTTTGTGAAGAAAAAACATCCACCATTAAACAGAGGTGGAGGCCTTCGTGTCCAGTTGTCCTCCTCCTACAGTGCTGTTATTGCAAGTATGACTCCGCCCCCTGTGAGCAAAAGGTGGGAATCAGGGCTCCAACGAACGTCAGGTGATGGGCCACATGACCCTCTATGAACAGTAGAGCTAATCAAGGCACTAACAACCTATTGTTTGGCTGATGGTCCTCTTTTGCATGTCACTAACCTGTTTGTCCACCATGTGGAGGCGGAGCTTATAAGGCTGAGTTCACCTGAAACTCGTCAAACTGAAGAAGTCTCTTGGAGGAGAGACAAAACGTTTCATTAAAGAAGAACCCGTCCAGAGGACCTACTTATTTTTCTTTTTGATTATTCAATGACAGTTTTTCTGACTAATAACTGTACGATACAGTTTCAACCAACCTGGTTGGTACCTGGAAATATGGAGTGTTAGTCATTGCTTAGTATTAGCTCTGTGTTAGGATTAGTATTAGCAGTGTTGTATATAATCAGAATCACTTTATTTCACCAAGAATGTAACACATCCAAGGAATTTGACTTGTCAGTAATTGCAGTCATGACCAAGTGCCAAATATTTATTGGTGACAGTTTTTCAAACTTTAAATGCACCATACATTTCTCTCAACCCTAGCTGGTATCTGGAAATATGGAGGGTTAATGTTTGTTTACCATTAGCTCTGTGTTAGCATTAGCCCTGTGTTAGCATTAGCATTAGCAATGACTTACATGAGTCAGTAATTGTAGTCACAACGAAGTGCCAAATATTAATTATTAACAATTTTTCGGACGTTTACATAACGCCATACAATTTTGCCCAACCTTAACTGGTACTTGGAAATGAGTATTAGTGTTCACTTAGCATTAGCATTAGTTCTGCACCGAGATAAGACAATCATCGCACTAATTGCAAAATATTATCTATGTTTATCTAAAGATTAATTGCACATGAAACAGTTTTGCCCAACCTTACTCTGAATGCAGTAATGATCCATCTTTTGTGCTGCAGAATGTTTTTTTATTTTAATTTAAGATCTTGTTTGTGTTTCTCACCACAGGGGRATTGAATGGGTGAGTCTCACCAGTTTTCTGTCTTTTGCCACTTCTTCTCCGAACAACATGGGTCTGGTGCGAAACGAGCTGCAGCATGTTGACCTGCCCACAGGTGAGACTCAAACACTCGACCTGAGGACACCAGTACATGTTTGAAATGCTCTTTAACTTTTATTTTGTGTTTCTTTTCTCCAAAAATTAAAAAAAATAGACTCTAGAGTTCTAAAATTCCTAACTTTTTATTTTTGTTTGACCTCTCAAAGAAACTATTGTTTTTCTTGAGGTTTCTTAATTCTTTCCAAATTAAGTATAATTAGATTATTATTAGGGCTGTGTATTGGCAAGACTTTGTTGATACAAGACATATTATGATACTGGTCACGATACGATATACAGTATCACAATACATTGCGAACCTGTAAGCAAGGCGATGTAAAATTCTAATTTAAAAAATGCTGTAATTTATGATTCATTTTTCTTATTTCATACATAACGTGCCTTTAAATAGTTTGCTAATATATTTTGTGGGCGCTTTTAGATTTATAATATTAATTTTTTGTAAGACCTCACACAGGACAACCCAATGTGGCTTAAAATACGGGACATCCAGGCTAATACGGGACAAGTGGCAACCCTTACTCACAATGCTAACGTTTGAGCTAGCATTATACTCTTAGGCTCCTCAGGAGTGGAGGAGCCAGAGTGCTGCTGCCAACTAGTGGTTGGAGGTTAAATTACAACATAAAAATGAACCGCTGGCATAAAATTTTACATTTAATTAGACTCAAAACAGTATTAGGAAATGAAATATCATGATATTTCA